CCAAAGAAGAGGAAACAGCAGCACAAAATATATATTGCTTAGGAATAAACGAATTAAACGCAGTGTAGCTTATCAAATATATGCAAGGCTATACATTCAAAGCGTAATTAGAAAAAGATAACATAACTGAAGAGTTATTATCAATGGACCCTAATAAAAATCCTTCTAGATAATGAACTAAAACACATATAACAGAAAATCTATTAAGGTTCTGCCAAGAAGAGGGATCGTCTGTACTTGGGAACAGTCAACCCAGCAAATGAGTTTAAACTATTACGGCGATGTTAGCTAACAAAAAGCCTGAAGCTAGATGGTGCTAATTAGAAAAAGGAGGAGCTAGATAGCTATAACCTTACACATTCAATATTATTGACGCTGTTACTTCAATTTCTGTATCAAAATTATTAAACCACACGACTATCTTTCAATACTTATCACGTGCATGTTAAAAATTAGTATTGGTCCCTGGATGTCTAGAAATTCCAATCTATTTAGTTGCAATCCGGCAATATGTCAAATCGTCAATACCATACCGTCAATTATATTGTTGCAAGTGCCCTATTTGTGAATGAGCTCAATGACACCTGATGGAAGCAGTGCATAAGACTTTTCAGCCACCTCAACAACATATAATCAAAGAACAGAGAAAATGACCTTCACAATATCTGATACTTTGAAGTTTTCAACTTTAAGCGCAAGCCCTGGATTCAGATAAAATCTATCCAACCTAATAGAGAATGAATAATAGTAAAATATTTATAAAATATATATTTAAAAAAAGAGAGAAATTAGTAAGGAAATTTTATTGTCTTATTGAGCAATACGCTGTTTTTAATTGACTCTCTGAATAATGTTTATGGCAGATGGCAGGTTTTTCTAAATAATTCCAAATACGCCATTTTACTTTCAAGTTGGTCCGGGCAAGGGTACTTCTAAATTTTTTCCGTTTCGAATTAGACGAGGTGAACAAGTTGAAATCACACGACCGGGTTGAGAACTAGCCGTCGAAGAATGCAAAACGTTTTGTCAGTCTGATTTAACCAGGGGATCTACACAACTACATCTACACAAATTGCTTCGCGTATTTTACACTCCTCTTCTCGATTCACGTTGATTATTTGTTATCACGGACTTATTTTAACTCTGGTGGTTGTCGGAAACCTACTACTTCCGATCCTTTAGTCTATCAGACACGTTTCCGCTTTTCGTCATCTTCAGGAGAAAATTTTCACATGAGATCTGTTTAGTCATACAGGCCGGAGAAAATTTGAGGATGACCGGAAAACTGCGCAACTACTGTTCATAAGTCTTCAGGTCTCAAGAAGAAAGCATAAAAATGTATAGAGATTAGTGACCGTTAATCGATAGTTATTCAGATATCGTGAGATGCGGTCGGGTGTGATGTAGGTTTCAGAAAAACATTTTCTTTATCGTGCCAACGTTTCGATCTTTTATTGAGATCATCTTCAGGGCCTGGGATTTACAAACAATGTTTACATTTAACAAATACATTTAGGATGTAGTAGTTTTTCTGAAACCTACATCACACCCGACCGCATCTCACGATATCTGAATAACCATAAAAATGTAGTTACTAAACTTTATGTTGGGGATGAGAAAAAAAAGTGCTAGGGCCTAACAAGCCATATTATCCAGATCATTAATAGGCTAAATATCATACAAACACACGGCTGAAAATGGAAGAAAAAGAACCCGTATGACAGACCACGGCAAGAAAAGGCAGACCAAAATCGTCATAAACGACCAACCCATCGGTCCTTTTCGTTCAATGCCTGGCTGACAGACTTAAATTGTGAGATTTCCTCCTGTCGTCTGCGGGTTGATAAACACTGAAGATGGCGAAATGCCCAAACGCGTCCTAATTACCAAAAATCAGGATAGTTAGACCAGGATGTTAGGTAACTATCGCACAACAGACTTAAATAAGTCCAAACCTACGCTGAACCTCCAAAAATGCTGAACTGTCTGTAATGTTTAACTATCTAAATCAGTTTTATAAAAAAAATATATACATTAAAAGTTAAAACATCGTTTTTTAGTCAACGCTCTAAAAGAAAGTACAGCAGAAACGAAGTTTAAATACTTTCACAGGCTGAAATCTCGGGGGGAAAAGGCAAGTTTTCTCTCTTCGGTTTACCCAAAGTTCATGACACTTCTTAAAATGGCCATATTTCTCTTCGCAATAGATACTGCATAATTACATCGTACACGACTGTATTAATAGGCCTGTTGCCAATGTAAACTATTAATAATTAGCCTACCGTTAGAAATATAAAAAAATCAAACAAAACGACCCTTCGATCGGTGGTATGTATAGCAAATTTTTATGGAGTTTCAGAGGTGGATAAGTTAGAAAGGCATTGAAGTCCCGTTAGAGGGGAACGATCCACAACCAGGTCAGCACAGGGGACTGGCTGAGAAGCCCTGTCCAACACCCTGTCTTTAACATTACCTACCCATTCAACGGGTTTTTATCGGGTATGACCTCTTTATAATCTACGTGATATAATACTAAATAGGGATAGAAATATTCTCAGAACTGTAGTTTTTCTCAAACACGTTTTGTAAATACCCAGATGGTAAAAATAGACCTAGCAGAGTTTATGTTGGGCTTAGTATTTTGGAAATGCATTTTTTTTTATTATTTCATACATTTTTATAACTAAATATTTAAAAAAGAATACAATTTTCCAGTGTTTATTCGTTTTTGAAGTAGATTTTTCTTTAAAATCGGACTTCACAGTAAAGCATCTTTCCTGGTTAATTAAAATTCCTCAACAAATAGAGAAAGTTTTAGAAAATGTATAATGAAAATATATATATATAGGTATTTGATAATAATAATTTTTGTTATATTTATTATTAATTTCTAGCTTTCTAGCATTTTCAGTTTTGAAGTGGTTGGATATTTTTGAATTTATGCAAAAGAAATCCATAAAAATATTTGTTATTCCTACAATCACTCCAAATACTTTTTAATAGTTTATACAAACATTTTTATTTAATAGACTAAAATTTTATTTTCCATTCAAAAGAAAAAATTATTCTTATGGCAAAAAAAAATTTTTCTCGAAAAATATAAAATGATATTTAATAGTTTTGTAAACACCCAGGTGATGAAAATAGACCTAGCAGAGTTTAAGGTGAACATTGTTTTGTAGAAATTGCAATTTTTTATTATTTCATGCTTGTTTTATTGCTAAAGATTTTACAAAAAATCAAATTTTAAAGTGTTCTTCGTTTATAAACTAGACTTTCTTTTCTTTGAGACCAGACTTTACAGCAAAGCATCGTACCTGGTTAATTAAAATTCCTCAACTAATGGAGAAAGTTTTGGAAAATTATATTTACAAGGGGACATATACAGGGTGATTGGCTACTCGTACGGCAAAATTCGTCAGGTGCTTCTACACCTCAAATTTAACAAAAACAACTACATATGAGCCATGGTCCGATTCTCATCCCTTTCGCAGATATTCAACATTTTTTGTTTCAACTATCCGTTTTCGTCATAAATCTACTCTTAGCTCTTGGACTATTCATTTTTGGGAAAATCCAAAAAGCATTGAAAAAGAGCGTTAAATTTCCCTTAAAATGGTATTCTCCTAGAACTTTTAATTTAATTTTTTAATAAAAAAACAAACACTAAATCTGTCAAAAACTGTTAAATTTAAAATTTGTAAAAAAACACTGCAACCTCGTTGGAAAAATAGACTGTAGAGCTTGGCATATTTCATAGAAACTTCTTCGTTTAATAAGCTATCTAGCGATATACTTTTCTTCAATTACATTAAGCCAAAATGCATAAATTTTGTTCTAAATGGGAGAAGAGTGATAACGGTGTGAAAAAGGGAGAGTGGAGTTAATCTAGTAATTAATGTTCTAGGCAAAATTAATTTTCCAACTTTAACTTAATAAAAAAGCACAAAAAGAAAAAATACAACAATACATAAAAAAGAGACAAACATAATAAACATCCAATGCAGAAAAATTGGACAAAATATCTGCACTAAACACAGGCAAAAGGAAAAAAAGAACAGCAATATAGAAGTTGTAAAACCCAACTAAAAAAAGTACAAACAAAGGAAAATTCAACGTAAAAATCAAACAAAAGCCATAAAAAAGAGGCAATAAACATAAAGAACAACCAAATTATGCTTATTTTTTTTCTTTTTTGCACTTTTTTATTAGGTTAGAGTTGGGTTTTACAACTTCTGTATTGTTTATTTTTTGTCTGTGTTTTGTATAGATATTAAGTTCAATTTTTCTGCTTTGGTTGTTCGCTATGTTTACTGTCTCTTTTTTATGTGTTTTGGCTCTTTTTTACGTTGATTTTTTTCTATTTTGTGTGCTTTTTTATTAGGTTGATGTTTTGTTTTAAAACTCCTGCATTGTTGTTCTCTTTTTATCTTTTTTTTGCTGTTTTTAGTGAGGATATTTCATTTATTTTTCTGCTATAAATACTTCTTAATATTTTATATAATCTTTGTTTAATAGGCTAAAGTTTACTTTTCTATTAAAAAGAAAAATTGATTCACATGGCGAAAGTAAAATTTCTTTTTCAAAAATATAAACTGATAGTAGATTTCCCATTTTTTTGCAATACTGGATCCAATGAGAAAAATCAGATCAATCAAGTTTTTCGGTAATTGAACAGAAAATATCCGAACATATTCCGGTCAGGATTTGCAATAGAAGTTATCTATGGACGATGTAAAATTAAGATAGATAAATGCACCTTTGTACCTTGTAATTTTTTTATTATCTGTTACAAGTGGGGCATTGTAACTTTCATAAATTTTCTAGTTAGAGCACTTAAATATTCTGGTCGGGTATGGTTTATGAGGGTTTCAGCGACCATAAAATATCAGTCTTACGTATCATTTTAGTTGTAACTCCAGAATGGGTTGAAAATATTATACGGATTTATGTGAAAAATATTAATAAATAATTAAAATTAATTATATGAAATGACTTACGGTGAAATTATCTCCTAATTTGTGAATTTCTCTGGCGAGTCTGTTGGTATACGTTTGGGGGCACTTCTGATCTTTCTATGTCGTCTCCTGAAAGTTCCAAGTCCTGCATCATCTGCATGATCTCTCGTTCTTTTTTCATTTCTTCTTTGTTGACCCCGGTGTCGTAGTAGTGTGCGTCAGGACGATCCCCGGGGAGGACGGGAAGAGGGGCGAATTTCAAATTGGCCAGGGATCCGTAGGAACGGGACCTATGCTCCTGCCTGATGGAGTAAGAAAATGCCCTTTCGTTCATGTGCCCTTTTCTCCTGTAGATGCCCGTGTTGTAGGGGGATTCGGCGTCCTCGTCCAGACCCATGAGGCTGGTGCCTTTTTTGAAGTTTTCGCCTTCTTTCCCTTCTTTGTTGTAGAGTCTGGCGTCGAAGGGGCTCTCGGAGCATTCCTCCTCGGACCCCGGGCCGACCCCGCCGGGGTTTTGGCCTTTAGAACTGGGCGGTTTTCCGTTTTTCATCTCTTTCATAGGTCTCTGTTCGTACACCATCCCAGGGTCGCCCCATTCTTCGCAGTTGGGCGGTGGAGGCGGCATGATCGGTATCATTTTCATCGCTTTTTTATTGCCCTTTTTCCCTTTCCTTCCGTAATTGTAATTCATCGTGGCGTAGTGTTGCATTAAATAAGCTTCGATGGGGAAATGGCACGGTTGGTAAGAGGACACCGGGCTCATCGGCCGGTTCGAAGGCATGTATATCGGTTCTTCCATGGTGACGGGATAGTGTTTGTTTTTCTTCCCGGTCGTCTGAACGAATATCGGGGCAGGCGGGGGCGGGTAGAAGTTCGGAGACACCATAGGCGGCCCATGAGGATGAGGACGGCCTTTCGGTGGCGGGCCCCTTCTCAGATGAGGGATGGTCGCCGGTACGACAATCATAGGCGGAGGTTGCTGTTGGTGAGAATGGTAACCGCCGTGATTTCGCATCAGAGTCCCTCCTACGGTCGATCCTTGAGATCTTACCGTGCTACCTGGCCTCATTAATGATCCGTTCATCAGAGGATACATCTCTTCTTTGCTCCCTCCCGTCATTTTTTTCCTCCTCGACGATTCTTTGTTAGTTTTGTTTACAGTTTGTTTCTCTTCTTTAGTCGGCGGAGGCGGAGGAGGAGTGGCGCTCATTATCTGCCTAGGTCTCGACGACCTGGCGCTTTTCATCGTGCTCGTCCCGTACTCGCCGTAAATCCCTTCTTCGCCGTCGGAAAGCTCGCGAGTGCTTCCGGCCCAGATCTTGTGGTTTTCGTCACCGTTATAAACAGAGATGTCATCGTTGGATCTGGAAAAATCGTTGTTGAAGACTAAGGAGGCGCTTGTATTCCCGTTGGCGTTGTTACCGTTGCTCTCGAACGTACTGTTGTGGACTACGCTGTCCAGGGTCAGGGTGCTTCCGGCCAAAGGGGAAGTCATACGTCTCCAGCCGTCTACTTTTTCGATGCTGTTAGAACTGTTGCCGATCTGACAGTCCTTGCGTAGGGTGCCGTAAGTGCCTCCGTTCGAGTTGTAAGTCGAGGGCGGGTCGGATTGACGCGCGGCGTAAGACGAATCCGCATACGCGTGAAAACAGCATCTGACCAGAGCGTTGGCCGCCATTTCCCTCTTGCAGATGAAAGTGTGACATTCCAAAACTTTGATGCCGGTCGTACGGCGTAAGATGCAGGCGAAGAGAGGAGGATGGTTGGGGTTGGGGGATCTCGCGAACGGGGAGTCCAAAGGCAAAAATCTCGGCTGCGACGAGGAAGAAGCCGGCGACTTCTCGGGCACGAGGACGTACCTCACCGCGGCACAGTAATGAAGTGTGTCGATCGGAAAAAATCTCGTTACCTTTTTGTGATTTTCGTCCACGTTCTCCAAAAGGACACCGTTGCTCCAAACGCTGAGCCAAGAGTCTATCCCTCTCGCTCCGAGGGCGCCTTGTTCCGGATAGAGTTCCCTCAGAGGCTCCTGTATCCCTTGGAGGCCGTCCTTCGTGATGTGAGGCACCGCAGAGCCCAGATAAAGGACCCTGCACCGGCAGATCGGTGTCGCGTCATGGGAAGACCGGTGATGAGCCATCATTTTGGATCGATCCTTTTAAAATCTATTCACTCACTTCTCAAATATTCATAAACGTCCACTAACAACAGGATGAACGATTGTACAAAGTGTACATTTTCTTTCGACAATCTCCAGAATAAATCCTCGTTTACACAGATCACACCACTTCAAATTTTGGGAAAAAATCACAATTTCTTTTTCCGGTTAAACCCAGAGGCAGGTCGATCAATACTTATAAATCCTAAAAGTTTTTAATATAATAAACGGAATTTCACTGACAGGCACGAATGGAGGGGAAAAAGAGACAAAAGTGAAGAAGTTTGAAATCGAAAGACGTACGCAGTTCTCGGCGTAGACGAGCCTCGGTCTCAAGACACGAACTGAGGAGAATCAACAAGTTCTTCTGTTTGGTAATCCGCGGTATGCGCGTCACGCATGCGCACCCGCCGGCCCGCCCGCCTGCGACACCCTGTACACCTACCTGCCCCTTGTCAATGGCTTACTGCCACATAATCCCTCCAATAGGATTATCCACCTATTATCTGTAATAAAATTGAACAAAGTATTTTGTCCAACTCGACTAAGAAAAGGTTTTTATTTTTCACCCCTAGGGCCAGTCAGTGTTTTTTCTGGCCAGATAACAAACAATTTCCGAAATTTTTGGGTTGCTAGGTACTTTAAACATAGTCCATCCCAAAAAAACTAAAGGCTTTCCTTTTGATCTTCATTCAAAAAGATCTTTAGTAACTAATTTACTAATCTTTTTTAAATTTCATTCCAGCCCTTTTTGATAATTAAATTCACCCTTTTGCAAAACAGTTTCACCCTTTTACAAACTAAATTTCACCCCTAGATGGCACTTAGTCAAGTCTACATTTCCTGGCTAAATGACTTACAATTTCTCAAATTTTGGATTGCTCTGTACTTTAAACATAGTCCATCCTTAAAAATCTAAAGGCTTCCATTTTGGTCTTCATTCAAAAAGATCTATAGTAACTAATTTAATAATATTTCACTAATCTTTTTTTGGATTGCTCTGTACTTTAAACATAGTCCATCCTAAAAAAACTATAGGCTTCCATTTTGGTCTTCATTCAAAAAGATCTATAGTAACTAATTTACTAATATTTCACTAATCTTTCTTAAATTTCATTCCAGCCCTTTTTGTTAATAAAATTCACCCTTTTGCAAATCATTTTCACCTTTTTGTAAACTAAATTTCACCCCTAGAAGTTCGAGTCTAGTTTATGTTTCCTGGCTAAATAACATACAATTTCCCAAATTTTTGGATTACTCTGTTCTTTAAACTAATCTATACTAAAAAAGTTAAAGCTTTTCCTTCTGATCTGCAGTCAAAAAGATCTACAGTAACTAATATTTGACTAATCTGTCTTCAATTTCATTCTAGCCCTTTTTGATAATTAAATTCACCCTTTTGCAAAACAATTTCAACTATTTGTAAACTAAATTTTACACCTAGATGGCACCAGTCTAGTCTTTGCTTCCTGGCTACATAACATACAAATTACTCAGTACTTTAAAACTTAACTCTTAAAAAAGTTAAAGCTTTTTTTAAGAATTAAATAATAAACATTTTTTGAATTAATTTTGTCCATCAGTGTGTCACGATCTTTTCTCGATTCAACAAGACGGGCCCAACTCTGAATCCTTTTTATGAGAAACAGAGCCCCAGAGGTCTTGATCGAACCTGAATACAGCCGATCAGGTGCCTTTTTAAAATAAAATTTAATTAAGTTTAAAAACAATTTATTAAACACACAAGAAAATAATAATTAAAACCAATAAATTTCCTTTTAAATTTTAAACAAACAATTGAAACTTTTTATAAATTTAAATAAACAGTAATTTCCTACAAAGTGTCTGCCAGACCATTTAGAACAAGGGTGGATATGTATTCACTATTTCCAGTCAATTCGCAGTGGACTGAAGCACTCTATTTTAGGGAATACAACACTTTTGAGGATTGCACACTTCTTGTCTCTCATCTACACGGAATCTTGTTCACCTCTCCGACTCGACTGTCTCTTCCCTATTCTCTTTTATTTTTTTTAATCTAGGCCTAATCACGAAATCTAAATCATAACATTGTCACTTTGAAATCAATTGAAATGTGACAAGTGTATATCACTAATCTTCCTTAAATTTCATTCTAGCTCTTTTTGCTATGTTAGTTCACAGTTTCCAAATAAAACTCCCCCTTTTGCTAAAACTTCAAAATCTTTTGCAGGGCCTCAACATTTGGTCCAAAAAGTGGAGAATTAAAATACATGCAATGAAGAGCCAATGCATTAACTTTTCATTCAGACGTAGAAACTACTATCTGTTTAATGGGAGATCACTACCCCCTGTCGAACAAGTATGTTATTTGGGACTTCACCTGGACAAACGACTTTCTTGGAATCCGCACACAAGATTAAAATGAAACGAAATAAGTGGACGTTACCAAACTCTTATCACCACTACTCGATAGATGACCCAAACTTCTACTTCATTACAACAGAAACACCATGGTTCTCAAACTAATATTCCCTTTGTTCCAGAAATAGCGAAACGCTATTACAAAAAATTCCATCAATCCCTTTCCACACATCCCAATTCAGCTTGGTCTGTCAGCTCAGTTCCACTACCACCCCGGATAATCCTCTTCATTGTCTGAGATGCTGATCGCCATGTGATGCTCTACATAGTGACAAAGAAAATTAAAAAGTGGTTATTATTTATTTTTTGTAAAGGAGGTTCACAACTGGGAGATTTTTCCTCACATGTTTTTCTTATTAATTTTGTTCTTACAGCATTTTTATCATTGTAATTGTTTTACATACGTAAAAAATAAAAAAAAAACCTTTTGCAATTCAATATTATCCTTTTGCAAATTAATTTCACCCCTAGGAGGTACTAGACTAGTCTAGGATTTTTGGCTAAATAATTATACAATTTCCCAAATTTTCTGATTACTTAGTACATTAAACTTAATCCTAAAAAAAGTTGAAGCTTTTCCTTCTGGTCCTCATTTAAAAAGATCTGATTCACCCTTTTGTAAATTAATTTCATTTTTTACTAAATAAAATAGAAAATACAAACCAAAAACAAATAAATGTTAATCGTCATTTTTAATAATGGATTTACTTAAAAATATTAAACGAAGATTACTCATTTTGTAAAAAACACCTTTTCTCTTCTTTACTCCATTTTAATCCAGTTGTATTCTTTTTAACCATGGAAAGACATCATGTTGAACCAGATGTTCATAATATTATTGTGAGAATGGGTCATCGAGGTGACTGCCAAGTGGATATCACAGAGGCAGTTGGCATTTCTCAGAGCGTGGTCTCCTGGGCTTTAGCCCAATTCTGAGAAACTGGAAGTGCCAATAGGAGGCCAGGTAGTGGATCTCAGCGCATAACGACACTAAGGGAAGACAGAAATATTGTCATTGCTACATACGAGGAATACATCCCTCAAAATAGGGATCTCATTGGCAGGGATTTTCAATTTCAGGATGACAATGCCAGACCTCATAGAGGCAGAGTTGTTCATCAATGTTTAGAAAACCTGGGAATTTCCCATCTGCCCCTTCCCCCATTTACTCCAGACCCCAATCCCACTGAGCACATATAGGATGCGTTGCAGAGAAGGCTTTTAAATCACCATCCCCAGCCAGTTGACCTGCAACAACTGATGCAGCATTGCAACATCTATGCAATAAAATTCCTTATAAAATTAGTTACAATCTTATTATCAGTATGCCCAACAGGTGCACAGAGGTTTTAGCTAACAGAGGGCGTTATAAATGGTTTTAATTGGTAAAAATTTATTGTGTTCAGTAAACAAAATAATGGAATTAAAACCTTTTATTCAGTTATTTTTCAAAAGCTCTTAATTAAATTTTCCTTCAGTAAAAAACATAATGATTTCTAATAAATGTTAATGCAATTTATAATAAAAATAAGATAAAAATTCTATGGAAAGTAAATACTACAAAATTGGCAATGTCCCTCTTCATTTTTGACAGTTTAGATCAAGATAAATCTCAAGGTGTATATGTAAAAGATTAAAGTTTGTTTTTCTGTACGTTCATTTACAAATAGTAAAGGGAAAAAAATGAGTATTTTCAAATAATATTATTAGATTAAGCATTTTCAAGTTAAAAATCTTAATTTCCAGCCTACTTGATCAACACTTCACAATTTTTTATTTTTAAACCAAACCATATGATTATAGCAATAAACCACATTTCGTAGCCAAGGAGATATTAGAACAACAAACACAACTCTTAAACACTCCATACCTACACAAACTCACTCACTCTCTAAATTCCAGTATAAAGTGACACAACATTTAAATTGATAAAATTTCTTCGAGCATATTAGTTTTGAAAAATTAGTGAATAAAAATGGAAGACAATAAGAACAAGACAAAATTCAACGAAGAGTTTGATTTGGCATGTTTACAAGAAGAAATTTTTTTAGAAAAAGTTATTAGTAATGAAACACAAAATTCCTACTGCATGAACACTGTGAACAATGTAGTGACTCTAATAGATGAAGAAGAAATACAAAATGACACAGTAGATGTTTCAAGCCCCAGTTCAGAAGAAGACATGCTAGTACCCAATCGGGACAAAACAAAACATATTAATTGGAATCACATTAAAACAGGAGAAGGTATCTTATTCAATCTAGAAAATTAAACATACTGAATAATCTACTTTTTTTTTTTCTTTTTTTTTCAGAGAACGATGAAGCAGAACACTAACATACATGTAAACTTTCCAAATTATATAGTTCTACACAATGCACCTCACACGACACTAGTAGTAGGACACTCATTCAGACACCACACAAGAATTAAATTTAATAAACATATTATTATGATACATTACATTGTTGCTTTTTCTTTACTTTTTTATGAGAACATAGCAAAAACATGAACTTTTTTTATTAATTTTACTAAAATTAGTACTTGAAAAACTTTATATAAGAAAAATACAAAAACAAAAAAATTGATGCTTTAAGTATGTCAAATATTTAGTATTTCTTTTATGCTTTGGTAATAATTTATAACTTTAACTCAACCAGAGGATCAGAACTGTTGATATTTCTGATTTCCAAAGCAGTAATTTGGAATAATTCTCGCATTGAGAATGGCGAGAACTACAGAAATTCAGCAAAAATATTTGTCAATTTTAAAAATACTGTATAATGCCATTTAATGTTATATAATAATGACCATGTAAATGGTTAAATGATATTAAGAAAGATAAATTTAATAATTGCTACCCTCATATGACCAAAAACAGGTAGGAATCTTGTTGTTATTGCATGGTGCAATAATTTAAATTATACCATTATAGATTAGATCATTCTAAATTCAGATTATAGCCGGAGCCGGCTTCTTTACAGCCTGCGTATCGTGACCAGTATCAGTCTTGTGCATCTCAATTGTTCTCTCGAGTTCCTCATTAAGCTTAAGGATTTTTACCAAAACCCAAAGCTTTTTCAATGACTCCCATGTGTTTTTCCTTCAAGCCTAGGTTTATCCTCTCCCAGGAGTAGGACTCTCCGCCTGTACCAACAGAGGATGTGTTCCGCTGTTTTTCTCCTTTTTGGTAATATCTGCAGTGTCCAGTTAGCAGTCCAACTATTATTCTAGTCCTAGCACATCCAGATTCATAACATTGTGAGTGCCCCACTAAAACTGGCAAAATCAAGGTAAATCATGTTGAGGAGAAGAAAAGGGCAAAGTACACGGGCTGATTCGGCTTAGTCCCAAACAAACCCGTAGGCATAAATGTGGATCAAAATTTAAACAGAGTGGCTTTTGAGACTTCAGTTGTCATTCAAATTTAAAATGTCATATTTTAATGGCAAAAACGACATCACTGGTCCTGTTTCTGGTCTCTGTTATGATCTTTCACCACGCGATCAAACTTTGGATATAGATTTTATGTTCAGTGTTACATTCCGTTTATACCCAAAAAGTCACTTAATGAAATCAAGGAAAGGCCAAAGACAAATAGCTTTGTAATTAAATTAAAAAAATAATAAAAATAAAAATAAAAATAAAATAAAATAAAAATGTTTCTTTAGTCATGTCAAAAACTATTGATGTATTTCATTTCCTTCTTAATGTATTTACGTCATTAAGTTTTCAACAGAGTATATTAAGCACACAGGGTGTAAACTTACTATTGGGCCACTGATTTGTCTGAAAAATGATTCGAACTAGAAAAAAATGTCAACAGCAAAAGGGTGGACTTGAATTGCAAAAGGGTAAATTTAATTAGCAAAAGAGGGACTTTAATTAGAAAAAGTAAAATTGACTTTCAAAGGGGTGATTTTAAATAGCAAAAGGGTGAAAATGATTTGCAAAAGGATGAAATTGATTTGCAAAAGGGTAATTTAATTTGCAAAGGGTGAAATTTACTTGAAAAAGGACTGGAATTTATGTTGCTAAAGGTGAATTTTGATTACAAAATAATGCATTTAATTCCCAGAAGGGTGAAATTGATTTCCAAAAAGGTGAATTTAGTTTTAAAAGGGTGAATTTAAATAGCAAAAGGGTTAATTTTATTTACAAAAGGGTGAATTTAAGAAGTAAAAGGGTGGATTTGATTTGCTAAAGAGTGAATTTGGTTAGTGAAAGAGAGAATTTTTTGCAAAAGGGTGAATTTATTTTGCAAAGGGTGAATTTGCATTACCTCACAAGCCTCAATAGAATTTCCTATTACATTTCATTTATTATTAAATGTTTACAAAGAATAAAAAACGCAATTGCTTACATGAATAATGCTAAAAGATCAAGTGAATGTAATGGAATGGAAGTATGGCGCATAAACAATACAAAAATTTAAATACAAATAACTCGGGTAAGGAAATTTCTGCTTTTTACAAGACTGCTAAATAAATACCTCATGGGTTGTATGGACTTATGACTGTTAGTTACATTTTAAAAAGAAAAATATTTGTTAAATATTTTTTAAGTTTTTATCAAAATGTGTAGAACAATTTAACCCTGATTTTGACTCAATTTTGAGAACTATAGGACAATTTTTAAAGTAACCATTCCTTGTTTTTGTGGCAATTTTTATTTTTATTTTTAAAAAGTGTTTTGGAGCGTCCTAAGCTATACACGCAGGCTGATTTATCTGGTTTTAACAAAACGTTCATTAATTGTGAATTTTAATTCAACTATGATAATTAACCAATTAAAATATTAACATATTAATAATAAAAATTTTGAAGTGGGATCACAAAAGTAGTGGACGTCTCTCCTTCTGTCCCAATCTCTATGTTATATCTGCATCCAACTTATTCATTATCTAACTGAGCAGAGGCACTAAATTATTATTATTATTTTAAACCAAAAACACTTTTAGAAATTGGCTTTTTTTATTGATCCTGATTGATATAAGAAATATTTCTAAATAAGTTTTCCTGTTAAACACATTTATAGCCAAGTATAAATGTTCTAAACTCTTCAGAAAAATAAATTACAGTAATTACTTTTCTACATTTTTATATAAAGCTGTTCTTTTTTGACAATTAAAACTGTTTAATCACACAAGATGGATTCATGTAAAATATAGTTGTATGTTAGAACTTATAGTACATTTGCTTGCCCTTCCTTCATTAATTATTTGTTTTTAGCTAGTCAAGTTAAACATGAATATTGTAATTACTTTTGTTTAAATGCAATGACGTGATAGCAGGAAGTGACATTTGAACCATATTATTTATTTCATCCTCACTCCTCCCTAGCTGCATCGATCAAATTGAATAGAACCCATCTTAATAACACTCTTCTTTGAGATTTATTTTTGAATGAAAACATCCAAAAAGCAAGATATTATTTTTATTCAAATTTAATCACCTGTAAAATAAGAAAAAACTGAATATAAATATTGTAGGCATGTCCGGAATAATTAATTATGTGATTTGTGTATTTCTTAATTTTCTTATTTTAAAAAAATTCTCAATTTTCTTATTTTAAAAAAATTCTCAATTTTCATGTTGATAATTTTTTCATTTTTTTAAAATCCAAACTGTGTTACTTGCTTTATGAGATTATTTAGATATATAATATATTAGATCTATAATGAAACTAAGCAAAGACCAGATACAATAATTATGCCACTATGAATAGTTAATTATAACAGTTATGACACCATGAATAGTTAATTATACAGTAGATTACTGATGATTTGATTTTACTTCTTTACTGATTTTTTGATTTTCATATTCTTTCTTTTTATTAATTTATGATAAAATCAAAATACATGAAACCTTGGTGTACAACTGCATTTTATTTGTTGAGACTTTACACTGTTTTTATATAGAAAAATGGTATTTCTCATTTGGTCTCTTCAGTCGTTTTGCTCATTGGTCTATTGAAGATGGGAAAACGAGCCTGAACTCCCAAAATAAAATAAATAAAATTTATAACACATAACACTAAAGTTTTCTTCTCCTGTCAACCAAATTACAAATACTGACAGAAATAATTAATAGTTTCTACGCACTTTTCAGTCCAATTTTCAAAAATTTTACCTTATCAGTGAATTAATCGAATATATTTTAGACAAAATAAATGATTTTCTTCCTCTATAGCCGAAACTCCTTAAAAAAGTGAAAGCCTGTTGGGATAAAGTCTGGTGAATATATATAAACAGGGTATGGAAAGACCTGTGTTTCAAGATCATTTAGCTCTTAGACAATCAATCTTGAGATTTGGTCGCAAGTGGTGTTAATACTTAGAATACACTTTATTTTTTCAAGCAAGTTACAACATGATAATAAAAATAAATAAATAAAAATAACTAAGTGTTCTGGCATGGATTCTATTCCATCTGCCGTAATTATTTTTACAAATAAATAAATAAATAAAAATAAAATAAAGTAAAAATACAAAATTAACTAATGTTCATATGAAATAGGTAATAGGTTGACAAAAAAAGGTTATTTTGAAATATAATTTTTAAAAAAATTAAATTCCTTATCCAGTTCGTACCTATACTAGCAAGCATGTAGCATATCTTATAAGTTTTCTCTTAACAGAAACTCAAATAGTAGTACCCTTGTTAGCTGAAAAGATCCTAAATGCAAAAACTGCACCTCCCAAAGGATAGTGCATTCCGCCATAAAATAGAATACATTTTCTGTGTGAATTGCATAAAGTGCCCAACCTCTCATTGTCCTGCCGTCAGACAACTGCAATCTTATCTTAAACAGGCATCAAAGGCATCTTTAAAAGATTAACAAAAATCATTCAACCAAAATAAGTTCCATGGCTGTTGGTGTTCCTCACCCTTATTCAAGCACTGCCTACATCTTCTTTGGTCATCTCATCCCAGGTGCACAAAAGATGGAAAAAAGTTCATTTGTGCCGAAAAACAGCGTACTTCAACTTGTGCAACTGGATCTTGGTCACTTTGTGCCTCCAGCTTTTTTTTTCTCACATCAATCTGTGTCCCTTAATTCCATTCTTTTCTTTTTTCATCCTCCCCATGGGAATAAAGCTGAGGATGAGACAGGAAAAGGTCTGAAAAAGTTACAAAAATATGTGTGATGTGTGTGGTGTGATGAACCTTAAGTTTGGTCATTACTGATAATATTGGTCTGCCTTTCCTCTCTGATTTGATCTGTTAGACATGTTTCTACATTTCACTTCAGTTTTGGGTCTGTTACAAAAATTCATCACTGAAGAAAAAAGCTGATTTGGTCTTATAAAGCAACCCACGAACCCAAGCAAGGATAGGCTGGCCAAATTACTGTTTTTTTTATCCTGCAAATTCACAACAAATTTCATTTCATTACATCTCAGTATTAAAAAAAAAAAAAAAAAAATCATCGGCGAAATTAAGACATGAATTAATTTATGTTTTAACGTAGTCATAACAACTAAAATAAAAATTATATCCAGTCATTCAAACTATGTGTGGATGTAGTCAGAAGAACAAAAACTAATTATATCATTTTGTTTAAACTAATGATAAACTGTTCTGTGATACATTAAATCAAATTAGCTAATCGTTTCCATTCATATAAGGAACATCGTAAATTAGTTTGATACGCATAAAACAAAAAGAATTGAATTGCAGATTAATATAACTTTTATTCTTCAGCAATTAGAGGTTGTTATGCCCATAACCTTATTGGGAGGTGGCCTCTGTCATTCATTACTAATATTGCTGAGTGAGCTGAATTTTATAGTCTATTTTTGCAGGACAACATTTGAAAATAAAAATTGTGCAATAAAATATGAACAAGCTCCAAACAATCTTGATTTCACTTTTTTAGTTTATACTACAGATGTTTGTATCCAATTAAATAGATTTTCAAATTTCTTTTATTTCTTATTACTTTTTGTACAAAAAGAAAAAGTATTCTGCAATTAAAAATTAGAAACGAGAATTTTTAAGTCTTCAATAAATAGTTCCAAAATTAAATATTAAATTTGTTGATGTTAGAGAGGAAAGAAGACAAAATCTCACAAGTTCTAAAACTGTTGAAACATAACAATTGTGTAAGAAATTAAAAAAAAACATTCTCAAAATTAAAAGGATCCAAGATCATTAATATTTGGATTTTTGGTTAAGCTAATATTTTTGTGCCTATTACTTTCAACACATATATAATTGATAAAATGTAAACGTATAATATAGTAATAAAAAGTATATATGATTGAAATTATTGTAAGTAATCGTTTAGAATATTATGTAAAATTTGTTATGGGCCTGAGACAAAAATCAATTTAATTTTTAAGAGCTTCACTGTGTTCTTCACAGTGAAATGGTTCTAATTTATTTTATTCTGTTTTTCCTAATTTGTGAGTAATTAAAATGTCATCACTTTCATTCCATAATAAGTCAAAATCCTTTCCACTATGAGGTCTGAGGGATGGTGAACCCGTAGTTTAGTCCATTCTGATCATTTTGTTATGTCAGAAGCGTTTCTGCTAATCATCAACGACCTTGGTGAATTTTTAGTTTTAACATGCCAAGCTCAGAAAATGATGGGAAGCTGAAAAGTCATCAATTTCATAGGCATCTGGTTGTCTCTTGGTAGACTCCTGAAAAAAATTGCTTATGATGTAAATTAAAAAAAAAAAAAAAGAGTGCAATATTTAATCTGTAATTTGGTCATTAGTAATAAGTCTGCCTATTCTCTTTGGATTGGTCTTTCTGATGCATTTGGCATTTTGCCATCTTCAGTGTATCAGTGTGATTTCTGTGAAGTTTATTTTATTTATATCACTTAATAGAAATTGTATTCAATCATACAAGTTGATCAAACTGGCTGACCCACTAGCCAAAGAGTCCTCTCACCCATGGGAACCACAACTAGATGCACTGGAGAGCTCTAAAGTTAGAGCTGGAAAAATGGCCTGAAAAAACTTGGTATGAGGCAAGCACAATAAATTTATAAATCTCTCAGAAAAGAAAGCGAACTCTACTACCTCAGCAGAAAAATTATAGAGTTTTATACTGTCATTTCTTACTACCATCTAAAGAAGATAGACAAAGGAGAGACAAAAACAAGATGACTCTTTCAAGGGAAATGAGAGAAAGGAAAAAACTGTAACAGGGTTGATTGACCAAAACATTCAACGATAATCAGACCAACAAAATGATTAGAAACGTTGAAACTACAGCTTCATCACCTTGCAGACTCCATGATAAAATCTTTTTGATCTGTCTACAATTTTCCTCAGATCTCTCAAAAAGTACCAAGTTATAAAAGATTGAAGTTTAAAATAATCAATGTTTTAAGAGGAGGAAAGAGTGGAACAAAGTGAAATATACACGAAGCATTAGGCAAAGTAGGATGAAAGAAATGACAACCCCTGTGTGTACCATTCTTTGAATTTTCTTTCATACTAGAAAGTAATTGAAAAGTATTTTTCAAAAATTTATAATCCCATGTTCTCGTTGAAGAATTATTTTTTCCCTATCATCAAGGCTAACCTAAATTTTAATACAGAATCCACTTTAATCTACTGTCATCAGTCTTGGATCTTTGAAAGCAATATGTAAAAAAATTCTGTTAATTCCTTCTCTATTGGACCAAGTTTAACTACTCACAGGGCAACAAGACCTTGCAATCTGTTCAAAATTTGATCAATTAAAAAGTCTTCAGTGAATGACTGCAGATATGAGCAATTATACCTTTTGCATGTTCAATAATTCCCAATAGGTAAATAATAATGGAGATTAATTTTTATAATCCCCAGGACTTGTGAAGCTCTCAGAACAAATTATAAATTGAAATTAGGTTACAGGGATCATAGACAATGGGGTAACATGATACATCCGGCTTTCATTAACATAACTTGACACTGAAATGTTAGATGTCAGGGTATATATATAGTAAATATAACTAATTGCCCTCCATCATAGTCGAACTGACGTGCGTATCGCGTGTGCACTATATTGGAATTATAACATCTGCTACCGGATTTTTTGATGAAAATGGTGTGTCGCAATTTTTTTTAAATATTTTACTTGTTTTATTTAGTTTTTAGTTTTTTATTGTACTTTTTCCTTTTCCTTTTCTACTTTTTTTTAATAAAAGAGATTAGGGGGTGGGGAGTAAAAATTGAAAAAAATAGTGACTCGTCTTTTTTTTCTTTTTTCTAAGTGAGGCCTCTTTTCAAAATTTTTGTGTTTGTGTCTTCATAAAGGAGAGTTTTATGGATTATTTCCTTAGATGTAGCTGAGATAAGTATAATTCACTGCTAACACTGTTGGTTATCCTGGTTAAAAATTTCTTTCAAACATTCAGATTTTTAAAAAATAATAATATAAATATTAAATATTAAAAATTAATATTTTATTTGTCTTACTTATTATATCTTACTGTCTAAACTTACAGTTAGATTTGTTTTTTCATTAGGTCACATCATCGGTATAAAAAAACCCATTAAATTACAATTAAATTAATTAAGTTAAAATTTAAATTACAATTTTAAAATTAAGTTAAATCTGTGAGAGATATTGTTTAGGGTTGCTCCCATAGATCACTGGTAATATGAAAAAGTCTGGTACAAGTGGATCTTTAGCTAGATTGCTGAATATTTAACGACACAATCTAAGTGGAGTAAATTGTATCATTCTTTTGCCTAGGCCCATTTTCAAATTGTATCAGGACATTCGGGGCCGTGGTCTGACTTTCTATAAATTTAAAATATCAAACATCTATCACAACAATCACATAGATTTTGTTCAAACTTTACTCAATTCATTAAATAAAATGTGATGAAACAATAGAAATAAATTATAAATAACATAAAATAAATTAAATAGCTTATCCAGATGATTTTGAAAAGTCCAAACTTTGCTTGTAATAAAGTGAAGTTCAAATATTTAACCTAAAAACTATACAGTATTATGACTGATAGGATTTTTAAATTGTTTCTTATTTAGCATTAATAGATGCATATGTAAAATACAGTTCATGGTGTTTTCTTTAGAGTACTTAAAAAAAGAGGATTGTCTTGTAAAGTTGGACTGTAATAAGTCCTGACCCCTAAAAAAGTTGATAGTGGAAGGTCTGCGAGTCTGTTAACACATGTTGAAACAGGACTGGGTTACTTAGTTCCTCACTGAAGATGGCACATAGCCAAAATGCGTTTGAGTTACAAGCAAAAAAATACGAGTGTAGATGGACTAACAAGAAGTACCTGCCGGTTCGAACCTAAAAAAATTGTTCCGAATTTATTTTTTATTCTTTGCACACTGTTTTATTTTCAAGTTTAATTATTTGAAAATAAAAATCATTTTAAATTTATCAAACGTTTCAACGTGAACATTGGTTTTTAAAATTTTCACAATATAACTACAACCCTGACTTGATAAATGAATATATCTGGATTATAATGGCAGATTAGGCAAGAATAATGGAAATTTATTAAAATTCCAAACCTGAATTGATTTTGTACTAACCCACACATAATTAAATATAAAATCTGTTAAGAACTACACTGTCTGTATATTTGATTTTAAACCAACAAGTATCAGTTCCACATTTCAAGCTACATTTATTTATTTTTTACTCTTAAGACAAAATAAGGTAATAAGTAATGTGTGGTTTTTAGTGATCGTTAATTAATGATTATTTGGAGATCGTGACCAGACCGCATCTCACGATCTTCAAATAATAAGTAATAAGTAATATATATGCTCTTTTGACGTTTTGTAATTTCTTTCTTTTGTTGAGTGCAATTGTATCAAAATTATTGTTAGTGAAAATTATAAACATTCTGGCTTCTGTTCCTCAGGTTTATTTATTTATTTGTTAATGGATTCTAGGTGCTCTCAGAAAATATATTCCATGACAACCCGACAGAGATTGCTGCCGGTAAGAAACTGGCGAGCCCCAGTGAAGAAGAGACGGTCGTCATTACTGGTATGAGCGGCACATTCCCCGAGGCTGACAATGTAACAGAATTCTCGGAAAAGCTGTTCAATAAAGTTGACATGATTACCGATGACAACCGCAGATGGGAACTGGGTATGGAATTTTTGCTGGATTTACTCTTTCTTGCCAAATAAATGAACTTTTCTTCATTTTCAGAGCATCCTGAGATCCCACACAGAACAGGCAAGATCAAACTTGTTAACAAGTTCGACGCGTCCTTCTTTGGCGTCCATTACAACCAAGCCAACACGATGGACCCAATGTGCAGGTTGTTCCTTGAAAAAGCTTATGAATCCGTCATAGACGCAGGTATGAATTGCCTCTTTTTTATCCTCAATACGATTTTTCAATGAACTTTTTAAAGGGATGAACCCAAACGAACTCCGTGGATCAAAGACAGGAGTCTTCGTCGGTGCTTGCTACAGTGAATCTGAGAAGACTTGGTTTTATGAAAAACTGCAAGCGGCTGGGTTTGCTGTGACGGGTTGCATAAGGTCGATGATGGCCAACCGCGTCTCCTACTATTTCGGCCTTGATGGTAAAGCTTAAAAAATTTCAGCAGTCAATTAACAATAATTTAATTATTTAATCTCAGGGCCTAGCTGTACCATCGATACTGCGTGTTCCTCAAGCATGTACGCTTTTGAGTACGGGTACAGGGCAATCAGAGAAGGGCTCTGCGATGCTGCAATCATCGGAGGATGCAACCTTTGCCTCCATCCATACGTGTCTCTACAATTTTGCAGGCTTGGAGTGTTATCCATGGATGGAAGGTGCAAACCATTCGACATCGCAGGTATTTACACAGTATTTCACAACAATTGAAATCATTGAGAAAAGTCAATCATCAGTTGTCGTAGATTTGTTCAGTTTTTGCATTCCCCAATTTTCAACTTTACAAACAAAAGTGACAAAGAATACATCCTTCTAATTAGTAAAGGGGTTAAACTTAAATGAAGGTATGCAATATTTAAATGTCAATTCTGGTAAATTTGAGCCTTTCTACTGATTTGGGTCAAATGCAAGAATAAATGTGAATCTTTCTTTAAAATTAACTAATTAAAAACTTATAACTAATTAAATAACAAACTTATTTGTATTTTCAAGCCAATGGTTATTGTCGATCCGAGGCGATATGTGCTGTTTTCCTTCAGAAGAAGAAGGATGCTCGAAGGATTTATGCATCCGTAATACATGCTAAAACAAACTGTGATGGTTACAAAGAACAGGGAATCACTTATCCTTCTGGTGAGATCCAACAACAGCTTTTCGAGAATTTTTATGCCGAATGTGAAATAGATCCATCGACACTCAATTATGTCGAAGCCCATGGCACAGGCACTAAGGTACAATAAGTGTAAAATATCCAAAGGGATCGATCTAACAGGGCCGATTTACAGGTCGGAGATCCAGAGGAGATAAAGGCGTTGGTGAATACATTCTGCAAAGGTCGTAAGACACCCCTGAAGATTGGTTCCGTCAAGTCTAACATAGGACACACGGAGCCGGCATCAGGACTATGTTCAATCACCAAAGTCATCATAGCCATGGAAACTGGACTCATTCCGCCAAATATAAACTTGGTCAACATAAGACAAGACATTGAAGCTTTTCGTGACGGTTCCATACAGGTGAATTACATGCTATATTTATATTTATTGTTAAAAAAATTATAAAATTTCAGGTTGTAACAGAACCTACACCATGGGAAGGTGGAATGGCCGGTATCAACTCTTTCGGTTTTGGTGGCGCCAACTGCCATATTTTACTTAATTGGAATGAAAAGAGCAAAATCAATGGGGGCCTCCCAGCGGACGAGATACCAAGATTGATCAACACCTCTGGACGTACGATACAAGCAGTTGAAAAAATCCTCAACCATGTAAAAAAATCCTTGCTGATTTCTATTCAAACAAACTCAACTGTGGAATGTTACGTTTAAGGTGGAAGGCCAACTTTTGGATGCCGAGTTCTGTAAGCTGTTACATGAAGTGCATAAATCAAACATCCAAGGGCACAATTACAGAGGTTATATTCTTCTCAACAAAGACAAATCTTTGTCAAAAAATCAGCCAAGAGCAGTTCAGGTGGGTACAATTTCATAAGGTTAACTAACCTATTATTTATTTATTTTTCTTTTCTCCAGTTTTTAATTTTTTTATTACTATTTCACAATACTTTGCCAACATTTACGAAAATAAGAATAAATTTTCTATAATAATTTCAATTTTCTATGGTAATTTATATTTCATATATTTTTTCTGGATACTGTATATTGTAGATTATTGCTAATGTGACTGTAGAGCCTGTTGAACAGAATTTATCAGATAGGACTCTTATGAGCTCGTCATCTTCAGGCTTTCTATCAGCCTCCATTGCCTTGATGTAATAATCTATAATCATCCTAATCCTAAGTTTTTCCTGCTTTGCAAGACCTCTGTCATGGAGTGTTTTTCCATTTCTTATTTTACCCTTCTCATCTTGAGTCCTGGAACGAACACTGTCTGTGATATTACCTCATGTGAGGTCAGTGCATTGGCTATTGAAGTACATGGCTATATTGCTTGTAAGATAATTTTCTATGGCATTTTAACACCCAATTTTCCATCATAAATCCCCTTGCGTTGTTTAATTGATGAACTGTAGGTATCAAGCAGTCAGGTATTGGTACAACCACTGCACCTTTTTCAGTGGTTATTGGTCATTATCCAATAATTTATCATGATATATAAATTAGTATTTTCTGTCATGAAAAAAATTAATGAGCAGTGTAATTTTTAACAGGATGTTCCATTAAAAAAGCCACTTTATTTCTATTTCCCTGGGGTTTACGCGAATCGGAAAAACCTGGACAAGTCCCTACTTCAATTTCCAATTTTCAAAGAGGTCTTGTCGAAAATGAGCAAAGTCCTTGCCTTCGACGTCTTCAATGTAGTTTCCAATTGGAACAAAGAGGAATTCAACAATCTCATCAACAATTTCATCGGGACAACGGCAGTTCAGGTTTGTTTTTTAGCTTCACACCTTGGTCATGATTTATAAGAAAAATAATTTCAGATTGCCATGGTCGATCTCCTTAAATCACTTGGAATCGTTCCTGACAAAATAGTCGGCACATCCATTGGAGAAGTCGCTTCAGCCTATGCTGCAGGCTGTATCACTGCTGAAGAAGCCATTCTCACATCTTATTACATTGGAGTGGCATTGAAGGAAATAAATTTAGTTCCTAGCACAATGTTTTTAGTAGGTAAGTTACAGAGGTACTTGAATTCAACGAAAAGGCTAACTATTTGATTATTTTTCTTTCAATGTCAATCTAACAGTTAATTACACACATTAAATGAAGCTTTGTTTCTTTTGAAGATCTACCCTATCTTGAAGTTCAAGACATGGCCTCACATGGAATTGAAGTCACACCTGTCGGAACCAAGGCATCGATGGTGAAAGGGGAGAAGTCTACCATGTCCACTTTTGTACAAAAGATGAAGAAAAATCAAATCAAAGTCACTGAAATGAACACGTGTCATGTTCCCATACATTCCAGCTCTTCTAAAAATGCTGCCAGTAAAATGTTAGCATATTTACGAGAGGTAAATATCAATTATTACAACCATCTCGAATCCATGACTTGATTGCTGGTTCTGTCTAGATAATAGTTAACGAAAAAGCAGTCCCACCGCAGTGGCTTACTTCAGTAGTTTCTAACAAGTGTAATGCAGAGTTGCTCTGCAAAAGCGTACTTGAGCCTCTTCACTCAGATGTTTTACTTCAAGCAAGAGCTGAAGCAACTGTGTTGGAGGTCGGACCACCAGGTGAACATCACCTCAGTGCCTTCATCAAACACCCTGTATTTAACAGCAGTAACAACGTGGCCAACACTTCTGCTGTTCTTGTCTCACTTGGAAGGTAAACACGTTTTCCCCAAATCCTCAGTGCTTCCTTTCTTACTTTGAGCAGTAACATTCCCATTGCTTTATAAGTCTACATGTCACGGAAAGTTAGAATTTACAGTCAGATTTTGTAATATAATTGCTAACAATCGGAACAGTTATACCATAGTCATATATTTTTAAATAAGTATGTAATGGCAAAAGTATTTTTAGTTCAGTCATTTCAGATCATTGTGGTCAGCCTATCCTTAATGTTTTGTATACAAAATGAGAGGAAACAACCAAGCTGAAGAGCCATCATCCTGCAGACCTAAAGAAACTAATAATTTTTTTTTTAAATTTTTGTAAGGCTGTATTTAGATGGCGTGGACATGAATTTGTCTATGTTGTATCCTGATGTCGTTTTTCCCGTCTCGAGATCGACGCCGATGATATCTCCCATTCTCGACTGGGACCACTCTGAAAATTGGTATGTCACATGTTACAAACAGGGGAAAGTCAAGTCAGGCGAAGATATGGTCACAATATCTTTAAACGATGAAGAAATGGAGTACATATCTGGTCATGTGATCGACGGAAGAAATTTATTCCCAGCCACAGGCTACCTGGTAGGCTTTACACATTTCAAGCAAGATGATATTAAAAGCAATAAATTTTTAATTAATTTTCAGAACCTAGTTTGGGAAGCCGTTGGCAATACTTTGGGCAAACATTACTCAGAAATCCCAGTTATTTTTCAAAATGTCAAATTTCATAGGGCAACAACTCTATCAAAAGATGGTGAATATTAAACTTAACTTGCTACTAAAGTTTCCAACACTCTTAATTTGCAAACCAAAACTATTTTCAGGGTCAATCGATTTTACTGTTTTGCTACAGAAGAGCAGTGGAAAATTTGAGGTCATCGAGGGTGGAGCCGCTATTGTCACAGGAAAAGTGCTCATTCCTAGTGAAGAAGACATAGTAAAAGAAATGTGCCCCATAGAGGGCGACAAAGGTGTCACCAGTTTCTCCCTCAACGCAAAAGATTTCTACAAAGAGCTAAGGCTGAGGGGTTACAACTACAAGGGGTTGTTTAGAAGTGTAGTCAAAGCTAATGTCAGCGGTAAGTGTGAAAAATGTTTATTTAGAAAAAAAAATATATATATTTTTCCTATGAAAAGAGGCTGCTGGGAAAATAACTTGGCACAACAATTGGGTTGCTTTTATGGACAACATGCTCCAGCTGCAGATCATACTCAGTGACACCAGGTCGCTCTTTGTACCCACATCTATAGACCGTGTGATGATCAACCCAAAAATGCATTCTCTTTACGTCGAAAAATTCAAGGATAACGGTGGTAGGTAAAACTAGGTAAAAAAATCATAGAGATTCGATGCTCTAGAAAACTAATGAACCTTCTGTAAACAGAGATTCCGGTCGGAGTTTTCAAAGGTATTCAGATGATCAAGTCAGGAGGCATAGAGATCTATGGGCTCAATGCGAACGCCATTTCTAGAAGGAAAAACCTCGGAGAAGCTGTTTTGGAGAAATACCATTTTATACCCAATAAGGTGTTTGCCAATGTACGTAACAGTTCGCCTTGAACAATAGGTCTATTGCTATAAAAACGATGTCACAACTACAAATCATCCTTTCTATCATATATAATTTTTTATACCCAAGATTATAAAATTTATATAATTTCAGGAATACGATATGGATCAAGTTGTTAGAATTATGGTTCACACGGCTATAGAAAATGAACCCAGCGTAAATATTAAAATCACTGAAATCCCCTCAACACAAAGCCTCCTCTCACGCATCATTGCTCAAGTTCTTGGCGATCTTCCATTAATCCAGGTAACAATTAAACAATCTTACAGTGCCAATTGTAACACCAAATTAACACAATCTATTTAATGTAGCCTGAAATCACCGTGCTGACAAGCCCAAGCAACCCTCTCGTAGAAGACGTCCCTCCAGAATTCATCGTTGAAGATAAAAAGCTCGTCACAGACCAATCTGTAATGATAATGGTCGCAAGCAACATCCTTGCAAATGAAAATCGACCAGTAAGTATTAAGATGTGAAATTGAATTGTGTATTTTTTCCATTTATGAAATTTCAAGAAGAAATCATAAAATAATTTACATTTGTAGGTTCTTGAATCTTGTCTGTATGCCTTGAAGGAAGGAGGCTTTATAATTGCTAGAGAACCCATTGGAAGTGAGTTGCAAGTCGAATACTTGCAGCTAGTCCAGAATTACATTGTTGACGACGAACAAATTATGATGTTGAGAAAGGTATATTAATATTCAGACTTTAAACTTACAAAATTGAAAATTAATATTTTTTTTACCATTTCAACAAGGTGAAAGGGATGACAGTACAATTGGATGACAAAGCGGTAATTGAAGTGAAGCGAGATGACTTAAACTGGCTTACCACTGCTCAGGAGGCAATGAAAAACGACAAGTTTAAAAAAGTCTATTTCGTATCACAGAACGATAGGTTGAGCGGGATCTTGGGATTGGTCAACTGCATCAAAAAAGAACCAGGAGGCACCAAGGCAAGGTGGGTATTTGTAAGTCAAATGTACTTGAGATACTGGGACTGCAAAATGTCCTTCGACTAAGAAGTTGGTGAATGATTTGGGCATTCTCAATTTCTATGCATTACATTCAATGAAGTTTTATGATCACCTTCTTAATTTCCAAATATGTATGATCTGGACTAAAACATAAAATGAGATTCTTAAATTCTGCAGGTGCGTTTTTACTTTTGACTCCAATGCTCCAAAATTTTCTCTGAATGATCAGTTTTACACGACTCAACTAAATAAAGATCTAGTAATTAACGTCTTCAAGGATGGGAAATGGGGAACGTACAGGCATTTGAAAATCGAGATGGAAGAGGAAGTAAAAGCTGAATATGTTTTCGCCGCTCCCTTGGTGAAAGGCGATGTTAGCAGTGTGAAATGGCTCCAAGGGAATGTGGAATCATTGGAGTATGTTATTTCCATTACACTTTTTCCACGTCAGTATATTACAACATTTTTTTATTCCAGGGTGAAAGATCGTGTGATTGTGGAGACATATTATTGTGCTTTGAACTTTAGGGACATCATGCTAGCAACAGGAAAGCTATCTCCAGAAGTGATCACGAGCAATAGGATGTCTCAAGTTAGGTCCATCGTATAAAACATGAAGCAAAAATCGATGTTCTAATTTATGAAATTTTTAAGGATTCCATCATAGGATTTGAGTTCAGCGGAATAGCAAATGGAAAAAGAGTCATGGGAGTTACTAACAGTAAAGGTTTAGCTACAAAAGTAAGAAGCAATAAACATTTATTATGGGAAGTCCCAGACGAGTGGACTCTGGAAGAAGCTGTAACCGTACCTTGCGTTTACCTGACTGTAAGGAAAAAACAAATAAATCATTTTGACTATATCAACCTGAATTTTTTTTTTCTTGACAGGCGGTTTATGGTTTAATGCTCTCTGGCAAGTTACAACCAGGAGAATCTATATTGATCCACGCTGGTACCGGAGGGGTAGGTCAGGCTGCTATCAATATCGCTCTTTCCTACGGCTGTACCATATTTACCACAGTGGGTACGGTTGAAAAAAAGAATTTCCTTCTTCAACATTTCCCACAGGTGAGTTGATGACATCTTGAAAATTTCAATGTTAAAACAACCATTTTCCAGTTGAACGTAAAAAATATTGGAAATTCTCGTGATACCTCCTTCGAGCAGCTTATCATGAGGGAGACGAATGGTCGTGGTGTCGACATGGTTCTCAACTCCTTAGCTGAAGAGAAACTTATGGCATCCGCACGTTGTTTAGCACCAGGAGGCAGGTTTATCGAAATAGGAAAGTTTGACATATCAAATAATAACACATTAGGTAAGTATGGGTATTGTTCTATAGGCAGTTAACAGAATAAATGAGATTTGTTATCTAAGGCATGGAGCTTTATAAGCGAGGAGCAACTTTTGCCGGTATCATGGTGGATAATCACATGAAAGAGGAAGGTACTGGCTGTCAAGAAGATTTGGCATACAATAGGCTTCTGGAAGAAATAAGACGAGGTGCTGTTAAACCTCTCGTCAGAAAGGTTTTCCAGAAAAACGAATTAGAACCAGCCTTCAGGTACTAAGATATTTTTTTAAACTTCAAAGCTAAATACAATTATTCTTTATTTTTTTAAAGATACATGGCTGCAGGAAAACACATTGGAAAAGTCATCATAAAGATAAATGAGAATGACGAAAAGCACCCTAGTGAATGTTCTCCACTGTACAATTGCAAGCCGAGATTTACTGCCAAAGGAAAATTTTGTTATATCATCACTGGAGGTCTTGGAGGATTCGGCTTGGAGTTGGCTGACTGGCTTGTACTACGGGGGGCGAAGAATTTAGTCCTGGTTTCGAGAAAGGGGATCAGCAACGGATACCAGGAATTGAGAATAAACATATGGAAATCCTACGGAGTACGCGTGTTGGTGTCGACTGCAGACATAACGAAGCCGGAAGGCGTTGTCAGCCTGCTTGAACAATCTAAAGCACTGGGACCAGTCAAGGGTATATTCAATTTGGCCATGGTAAGCTAACCAACCCTTTTGAATTAAATTATTTATAAATGTGATAACATGTAAATATTGTGTACAATTGTTGAATATTTGCTTTTTGTTAATGTTTTCATCTTTGAAGTTTTCAATAATGTGGAACTATTTTTTCTGCATTATCAAATACTTCAAAGATTAATAAATTCGCTTGAAATTATAATATTTTAACATTATCAGTTACAGTCTGTCAGGCCTAAAACAATCCACTTATTTCATTTTGATAATGTTTGGCAAACAGGTTCTCAAAGATGGGATATTCTCCAACCAGACGATCGAAAACTTCAAAGATTCGATCGGACCAAAAGCCGACTCGACCATACATTTTGACAAGTACAGCAGAAAAATGTGCCCTATGCTAGAACAGTTCGTTGTCTTTTCAAGTGTGAGCTGTGGGAGAGGAAACGGTGGTCAGACCAATTACGGATGGTCCAATTCAGTCATGGAAAGGGTCTGTGAGCAAAGGAGAGCGGAGGGCCTTCCAGCAACTGCGATCCAGTGGGGTGCAGTCGGTGACACTGGTTTGGTCGCCGAAATGCAAGATGAACACATTGACGTTGTAATAGGTAAGGTCGTGTTTTATCACTTATTTCCTTTTCAAACAAAGTGTGGGTTATTTTAGGCGGGACTCTTCAGCAGAGAATAACTTCTTGTCTTGAAGTGATTAATGGATTTTTAACACAGCCCAACGCCATCGTTTCGAGTATGGTTGTGGCTGAAAAACGAGCCGGCGGTTCGTCTGCTGACAACATTGTCGACACGGTTGCAAATATTCTTGGTATGGTAAATTAACAAGTTAAATTTGACATTAATATACTTAAACAATTTACAAAACAAACAAAAAATTCTGAAGGCTTGAGGGATTTGAAAAATGTAAGTCTTCACTCGACCCTGGCTGAACTGGGTATGGACTCAATGATGGCTGTTGAAATAAAACAAACTCTTGAAAGGGAATTTGAAGTTTTCCTCTCTCCACACGATATTCGATCGATGACCTTTGCAAAACTCTGCGATCTTTCGACAACCCAAGATGAGAAAAATGATGTAATTCAAGGTAGTTGTCATCATTTAGAATTCCAGCAAGATTTGAATTTATAAACTCTCCTTACGTTATATTGCTAATTTTCATATACTAAAGTTGAAAAAACTCCTGAATTTAACATCGATTTCCTAATAAACATGATTGGAGAGGAAGTAAATGAAGATGTGATCAAAACCGTAAAAATATGTGGGTCATCAAACAGCCAAGTCTTCATTGCTCCAGGCATTGAAGGTACGATTCAAACTGAATTGACTTTTTTTGTTAAATAACCAATGGTTAAATATAAATTTTGTATCACCCCTTATGCAATATTTTATTTTCATTTAATATGATTTGTAAAACAGGACAGACCACAGTCGTTGAACCATTATCCCAAATGTTAGAGACAAATGTGCACATTTTCCAATTCAACAGCACATTATGTGAAACTGTTAATGAAATTGCAAATCACCTTCTGCCAGTAAGTAAAATAAAAATATTAAAACTTATCAGGATTAAACCTTTGATTTTTTTTACAGCAAATTCTAGACTTTTTGCCATCTGGATCAAATTTCAACCTAATCGGTTATTCATGGGGAGGTCTTCTAACATTAGATTTAGCCTACAGATTAGAAATGAAGGGCTACAGGGGAAAGATTTGCCTCATCGACAGTTCGCCAGATTTTATGAGAAATACCTACAAGATTTGGGCCTCTGGAAGTGAAGACTACCAGCAGATCACTATCCTTAACCGAGTAGTTGACATTCTGTGTCCTCAGGAAAAAAGCAAGGCGAGTGTTATTATCAGTTGTAATTTAAGTGTTTCAAAAATCATAATCAATATTATATACATGTTTAGGTGGAAACTCTGCTTAAAATAGCCAGTAGTTGGGAAGCAAGAATAAAAATTCTGTCAGAATGGTCAAATCAGTTTGTTAACTTCACGTCAAGTTTTAAAGAAAATATGATCAATGGGATTTATTCGAGGATTAAAGCAATTTCTAAAATGGAAGATATACCTTTAAAAAGTTTACAATCGCCTATTCATCTCATCCGACCCACTGAACTTATATTGCCAGCCGAAGATAACTATGGCCTTTCTAAAGTAATTACGTTTGATTAGAGTGTTAACTTTTTTTTTAAAATATTAATCTTGCATTTCAGTACACAAAGGGGCCAGTAACTTTTGAGTTTATAGAAGGAAACCACACAACTTTACTTCAAAACAAAGCTACAGCAGATGCAATCAATTCGTTTATGGGCTTCACTGATATCAACAATACTACGAAGGTGCAAATGCTCAACAGTGCTTCGACAATTAAAGTTATCAAGGAAAATATCAAAAACATATAGAAAAATATATAATTTCATTAATTCTTATTTGAAATTATCTTTTGACATATCCTGACCCATTTTGTCTAGATAACCTAAATAGAATGACCACACTCTTTGTCTAAACCAGGTGCACCCTTCTTCCTCACGTTAGGAGTGCCTTCCTCAGTGAAATTTTGCTAGTTCCTTTTGTTAGTTCCTATGTGTCTGCCTATTCTTGACACACTCACTTTTAACCATTTTCTTGCAGTGGTTACATAAGCCGTTGATCATCCACCATAGACTTTTATCATACTATTTAAAATAGCTCTTTTTTTTAAGTTATGTCAAACCTGATATTTTAGTCCAGTTGTATTTATGAACTGTAGATAATAAAAGTGAAACTTTTAATGCAAAACTTTCCTTAAAAGTAAGAAAATTGCACGGTCATTGGTGCTTCTTAGAAAACTGTCAGGAAGGATTTAGAGTGAAAGAATGATTATGGGATTGGGATGAGGGTCCAGGGTTTTATGGAGGCGTCTATCGACTTCTTGCAGTTTCAAGGACAAATTAGTTGAATATGAAGTAGGGTTTTGCAATGCTTTGGAAGATTTTGGATTGTCGGAAAGGGTATGGGATGAATGGTGTTCGACTAGACTCTAGAGGGTTGGGATGAAGGTCACAGTGTCATGCAAGTTGACACTTCTTATGGTTTCGAGAACAAATCTGAATATCTGTATGGACAGCAAGGTTGGATAAGAAATAGGGAGCTTGGGTTTAGTAGGATTTTGGACTGGAATGAATGGATGGTTAGAGGGTGAAGGTTATTTCGTTTCATTGAGTCTGATCCTTCATTTCTTGAGCCATTTTACCAAAAAGAACTGGTCTGAGTTTGCTGCGGTATCGTCTGCATAGTATAAAATAATATATCAGGAGTGATAGGGGTGTCTGCAGTGTATACTGAATAGAGAATTGGAACAAGTTTGCTCCCTTGCAGGACAATGTTGCGGCAAAGAGGGTGGGCAGGGAAGAAGGATGTTCTGGTTCATACTTGAAAGTACCTGTCAGACATGATTTTAGGATGAGGTGGTGAATGGGAAGCCCTTGAGTTTCCAGAACAAGCCCGGGTGCCACAAGATTGAAGGCTTGTCTCACACCTAAGAACGAACCCGAGCAGCAATGACTACCTGAATAGTTCCATCTGTTCAGTTTTATTCTTTTAAGTCATGAGGGTGCCCTGTAAATCTTTGGTTGATATAATGTGCCTTGTGAAACACCAGGTTAGGCATAGTGGACAGAGGAGAAGGAGTTCTGGTTCTTACTTGAAAGTCCATATTGGAAAGGAAAGCATGTTCGTTGAGTTTGAACTGCAAACTCAACGAAGACCTCATATTTAGGAAAGCACCAGAGCAGCATTCCGCTCAAGCACTGTTGAATGGTAAAGTTATGTTGAGGGGCGTCGGTGGCCGCAACGGTTTAGGCGTTGACACGGCGCTCATCACTGTAAGGTAAAGGGCCCGGGTTCCAATACAGCGGCCCTGCATTCGAACCCGACATACTTACAAATGGGCTTTTTTTCAAAACACCGGCATCCCGAGGGTTTATATGACCTGTGCTGCGGCGAACCCTCGTAAAGTTAAAAAAAACAAAAGTTATGTTGCCTTAATTGACGGGATGGAATGGCATTGGTGGTTTACTGTACATTTTACAACTTTTGCCTTCATGGATTATATTTTAAAATGTAAAAACTTCAGTTTTTCTTCAGCAATTAGCTTACCATATGACACATACATCACAACAAAAATGATCGTTTGTTTAATTTATTTTGGTGCAACTGTCAATAATGATAAAATTCCTGACATACAAAAGTACAATCATTGTACAATAAATAATTACACATAAAACAAGTATTGCAAAAATATTTGAACACATGAAAAACAAATATAACACAATCTTTAGTACAATAAAGGAACGAAGCACATAAAAGTGCAAGAGAAATCGTCCCAGTTCCTTTTAAATTCCCCGAACAAAGTGTCCATTGAATTGGTCGAATCATTAGCACAATTACATCGTCCATCACCATAGAAAAACCGAAGCCCATCACCGTCCGACATTATTTATAAAAATAAAACACACTGACTAGACCGGCATATAATACATTCAGTCGATATTTTTCAGATTAATAAATTGGAAAAATATATATATATTTAAGTCATTTGAAAATTATTTCCTCAAATTCTGTATGATTTTATTAAATTTATCGTCAATTTTGTCCAACCCGTTGTCGAAACCTTCCGGGAGAGATTTGACTTTCACGATTTTGACTCTGGGCATGAGAAGAATAGAAACGATGAAGACAAGCGCCGTTCCGACGAACCAGAGCATCGAGGCGAAAAGAGGTCCGACCGGCGTCTTGGGGGTGGTCATTTTTGTCGGCATCGTCGGCATCATAGGCATCATCGGCTTAATCATCTTCAACACCTGGGCCAGCTCTGCCGGCAGATCCGAATAACTTTCATGGTCCTTCAGGCTTTCCAGATTCTTCAGCGGGTAAAAGTAGTAATAGTAGCCACTCGGCTTTTGACTTGCCCCGTTTTCTATTTCCGGTTTCATTTCTGCATCTAGAACGGGCCAAAGTCACCAAACTAGTTTGTACAATTATTTATACAATTTGTAATAAGAAATAAAGTCAGTAGGCTTAAAACGAAAACCTTATCCCACATTTTTCTTCTTTTAGCACTGTGTTGATTTCTAATGTTCGAATATCGACAAATAAATTTGTCAGAAAATCACTGCCATAATACAAATTACAACACAATGCCAAAATAATTATGAAGAAAAATCAGGAATTTTTAAAATAATCATTTTATCCAATTTAACTTGAAAAAAGAAGGGTGGCTTCTGAGGGATAAAATAACTTTTACTTAGGATAATAAGAAGTTTTGTAAATTAATTTTCGAACCTTGCAAGCTCGGATATGGATTTCCGTTGGTTTCTTCCCGCACTGGTTCTTCTTTGTTAAGAGGTGAAAAAATCAAATTGATTAGATCTTCAACCGGTATGTCCGGCTTTGCATCCGGAGAGTAGATCTGGTATCCTTCCTGAAACAAAAAGTTTTCTGTGAGGCGGATAACATTAGTGAGCGTAAATAATAGCTAGGTTTTAAATATTAGAAGAATTTGGAAACGGTTATTGAAGATAAAGAATGCATATAGACTACATTGATTAACATGGGTAGTATGTAATTAAAATTTGATAAGTCGTATACAAAACTAAAACAGTCATCATTCGATGTCGAAGAATTAAAGCTTCAAAGGCTAAGATTCCACGATTCAATTGGACAAGTAGAAAACGATACTAAAAGATTTATCATTCCATGTCGTAGACTCGAAGAATACATAATTCAATGTGAATGGTTGAAAATTAAAGGCTGAAAGAATCATCGATCAACTCAAAAGGTGTAAGTTGAACTGAAAAATCCATCATTCTATGTTGAAGTTTGAATATTCAAATACTGATAATCCAGTAATAATAATAATTCAGTTCGAAAAGTCGGAAACACAGACTCAAAAGCCACCATTCGATGTCGAAGAATGAAGATTTCTAGAATTTTTCAGCTTCAATCAGCTTGAAAAGTGAAAATGAAAATTAAAAAACTGATAAATCAACATTGAACATTAGAAGAATACTAAGAATATCGAAAGATTCGAAGAATGAACATTCGAAGAATTTTCCACATCCTACATGTATTTGTTAAATTTAAACAAAGTTTGTAAATCCCAGGCCCTGAAGATGATCTCAATAAAGATCGAAACGTTGGCACGATAAAGAAAATGTTTTTCTGAAACCTACACACACCAGACTGCATCTCACGATTTCTGAATAATTATTCGATTATTGTTATCGTTAATTTAATGTCGACTATTGAAAATTTCAAGATTAAAGATCCATGATTCAGCTAAAAATGTGGAAATCAGGCTATAAAATTGATTAATCAATCTTACAGATTCAACTATTTAAGATTTAAAGAATCCACGATTCAGCTTTTAAAAAAGTCGAAAACCTAGTCTATACGACTGATCAATCAATCTCGAAGAATCAAGAATAGGTAATTTAATGTTAAAGAGTGAAAAGTTAAACCTTGGAGAATCCAAGATCCAGCACAAAACGGAAACTAGAAGAGTGATCAATCAATTTTGAAAATTCGAAGAATTCGTATTTCAGTGTGGACTATTGAATATTTCAAGATTGTGGATCCAAGATTTAGCTTTAAAAAAATTAAAAAATGGATACTGTCAGATTGATTTATGTTGTAGAATTTAAGGATATGCAATTTAATGCCATACAATGAAGAGTTCAAGGCTTGAAGAATCCATGATCCAGCTCAAAACGTCAAAAACGGTGGCTAGAAGACTGGTTAATCAATCCTGAAGATTAAAAGAATTCGTAATTCAATGTGGACTATTGAAGATTTCAAAATTAAGGATCCAAGACTTAGCTTTTTTTAAAAAAAATAAAAAACGGTGCCCAGAAAACTGTTTAATCAATCTTGAAGATTCGAAGAATAAGTAATGTTAAACATTAATGGGTTAAAGACTCGATGAATAAATGAGTAAAACGTAAGTTTGCCATCAATTTATTATTCTCAAAGGCTGATCATCAATCTCTAACATTCGAAGAATATTTAATGCAATATCGAAGAGGAATGTTTCTTTTTTCTTTTTTTAACGAGGGTTCGCAACAGCAGAGGTCATATCAACCCTCAGGGCGCCGGTGTTTTTGAAAAAAAAACCATTTGTAAGTATGTCGGGTTCGAATGCAGGGCCGCTGGATTCGAACCCAGGACCTTTACCTTACAGTGATGACCGCCGTGTCAACGCCTAAACCGTTGCGGCCACCGGCACCCCGATTGGATCCCTGTTTAAAGACTCGAAGAATCCACGATTCTCACTGACTTCTTAATTATTAGGAACGAATTATAAAAAACAGTTTCGAAATTGGAACAACTGTCCATGTTACTTGCTGGTCTTCTCAACTTGAGTTATTTAGCGAAATGTTGATACATATTTTACAGAAATAAATCAAACGGTTTTCATAAGTGCGAAACTTTAGGTAGAACATAAATTATGAATTTAATTAACTTACATGGGCATTTTGAGCCGGTTGAGTTCCAGTAACGTTCATCGTATCCCATTTATCGTCGTCGCTGAAAACAATGTTGTTGTAGCCGTAGTCGTCGTTAATGAAGTTGTCCGATTCTTCTTTCGGCTCCATCCTGTCGATTTGGATCCTGTTCAACGTCGAGTGCAAGTAGTTGCGTCCCGATTCCAAATCATCCCCTAGGGTCATCCTCGTCCACAGTAAGGCCAGGAGGCATAGTAAAGCCTGTCTCATTGTTCTACGATTAGCTATCTGCCTGAAATAAAATCTGTTTTGTACTGTAATTGCTTTTTGTGTGAAATAAGAAGTTTGAATATATTTCGTTTAAATATGGTTTTATGTTTCGTCTATGGACAAATCTCTCGACACACAAACATCCCTTCAATGCGAAAATATTGTAAATACATGATTCAACGTGAAAGTAGGTTCACAATCCAGACCAGAAGGTAGAAAAACTTGATACGTGATTTCAACTTGAAGAAGAAAATAATCCACGATTCGACTGGAAAATCGTAAGCACAAACTCGAATCATTCAATGAAAGTCTGAAGATGGGAAGAATCCAAAATTCTATCTTGAAGGGTAGATTGAAAGAATACAAGATTCAACTCGAAAAGATGAAGAATAGACTCGAATCAATGTCGGAAATTCAAAACACCAATATTTCAATGTCGAAGATTAAAGAAGTATAAAGGCTGGAAGAAAACATGATTCTAATCAAACAGTCAAAAACGATGATTAGACTATTCATGATGATTGGTCAATTCATTTTGAAAATTCGAAGAATTCTTCAGCGTCAAATGATAATTCGAACTAAAAATGTCAGAAAAGTAGAATCGAAGGCTCAAATAACTCACATTTCAATTTATGAAAATTCCAAAAATCCAAAAGTCTATCTCAAAGAATTTATGATTCAGCTCAGAAATTTGAAAACTAAGACTAGAAGGTCGTACAAACAATTTTGAAAATTCGAAGAATAGTTAATTCAACGTCGACTATTGAAAATTTCAAGATTAAGAATCCATGATTTAGCACGAAAAGTTGAAAACCGAAATTAAAAGATTGATCCATTAATCTTGAAGCTCAGACTCGAAGAATCGATGGTAGAAAACCAAAACCTGAACAGGAAACTCAAAAATGTTTATTTGAAAGTCACACAGGAAGACTCAAAGCTTCATTATTCAATGTCGGAGATTGAAGAGTTAAAGGGTTGAACAATTCAAGATTCAGCTAAAATGGTCAAAGACTACAAGATTGATCAACCAATCTTGAAAAACCCAGGGATACGTAATTCACTGTCTAAGATTGGAGAGTTAAAGCCTTGAAGAATTCATGATTCAGCTCGAAAATTCAAAAATATAGACTAAAATATTGGACAATCAATCCTGAAAAATACGTAATTCAATGTCAAATAGTGAAGAGTTAGAGTCTTGAAGAATCCATGATTCAGGTCAAAAGGACAAGGCAGCGCCAAGAAAATTGATCAGCCAATCTTGAAGAATGTAAGGATACGTAATTCAATGTCAAAAATTAAATATTTAAAGGCTAATATCTACAATTCAGCTCAAAAATTCAAAGAATATAAGATTAATCAACCAGACTTGGAGAATCTACATATACTTGATTCGTTGTCAAACATTGAAAATTTCAAAGCTAAGAATCTACGATTCAGCTCAAAAAGTCAAAGATGGAAGAGTTAAAGGCTATAAGTCATGATTCAGCTGAATAATATTTTCAAAAATCGACTAAAATAAAGAAAATCAATCTTGAAGATTCGACAGATTAAAGATTTAAAGGCTCGAAGAATACATAATTCTATTTTGAAGAGTAGAATATTCAAAACATTTTACAGGATCCTATTTTGTATATTGAAGAATTTCAAAGATACCAAAAAACTTTTCATCTCGAAGAGTCGAGTGTTGCAGATGTCAAGAATACAGAATTGAATCTCGAAGAATCGATACACAAAGGCACAAAGAATCCCTAATTAAATTTGAAAAATTGAATCTTCAAAGAATGTAGAAAAGAAAAACGTGTATGACTCAGCATTTTGGAGGGTTGCCTGCATTTTCCTTTTGTCGGACACTTGACTATCGGTGCTTAGCTTTACAATCTTGATTATTTTAGTTTTTTGATATAATAATAAGTACCATATAGTTATAATTATATTAACTTCAGTTATTACGTTTTATTGGTTTTAATGCCATAAGAGGGCTCAGAAGTGGTCTTCCTCATTAGGCAGAGGCGACACGGACCAATCTTTCGCCGTTTTACCCATCTTCAACTTTATAGAAGGTCAACGTATCGCGGACTTGCAGGGTTTCTGATCCTTAAAATTCTACGCGCAAGTTCGAGTGTACCTTGCAACAACGGTCATTAAACCCGCTGCTACGGATCAGTCAGCAAGTTCATCTTTGTAGCGTAGAACATTTACGGCTGACGAGGAGTGAGCGTTTAATTATTCAATAGTAGCCCAAGCAGCCAAGTATGACGAGGAGTCCAGTTGCACGAGTCCGAAAAGGTTGAACATAGTTTAGTGGTAGAGATGGAGATAATGTAACTATTTTTTGTAGATTTTATACCTAATTGGATTAGAGAACGTTAAGAAGCTTTTGTAGTTCTGGCCTCTCTCTCACCCACTCATTCTTTCTCTCACTCTCTCTCTCTCTCTCTCTCTCTCACCCACTCTTTCTTTCTCTCTCTCTCACACTCTCACTCACTCATTCTCTCCTCTCTCATTCACACTCACTCATTCTCACTCACACCCCTCACTCGCTCAATCACTCTCTCTCTCTCTCTCTCTCTCTCACCCACCCATTCTCTCACTCACTTACTTATCACTCTCATTCTCACACCAAGTCGTTGAATTAGAAGGAAAACCGCATGATTAGATTAAGCCATTTTCAAAATGTGACATTAAAGAAAAGACGAAAAGGTTGATCATAATTTAGTTCTGCTAAGGGGTTGTAGATAAAATAACTATTATTTGTAGATTTTATACCTAATTTGATTAATGAACTTAAGAAACTTTTATAGTTCTGGTCTCTCTCTCATTCACTCACCCACTTATCACGATCTCTCTCTCACTCCCCCTCATTCATTCTCTCTCTTTCTCTCTCTCACACACATACACACCACTCTCTCTCTCTCATTCACTCATTCACTTATCACGCTCTCTCTCTCTCTCTCTCTCTCTCTCTCTCTCTCTCTCACTCACTCCCTCTCCCTCGTTCGATCATAAACCTTTTCTATCTCTTTGTCAGCATGGAAAAAATATGACAAAGGCCAATGGTCTATTTTATTATTCTTTGAAATTTGGTGGCAGTCCCTTTTAATGAATTTCTGATATAGTGAGCCTGATGATGATGGAATAACGAAGAAAATAATTATGATTAAAACGAGTTGTAACTTACTTATGATATGGTCGTTAGGTACGATGAGAGGTGGAGGAACATTACTCTCGGTGGTCCAGCTGAGATTGTTGTTAGCGACCCGTTTCTCTGCAAAATGGGTCGTCGGACCCCCTCCGTTTGAGGATGCCTCCCTTCCGCTTTCTTCGGAGCTTTGGTGGTCATTTATTTTTTTTATTTATTTTTTTCAATTTGTAATTCAGCGAAAACTTTCTCGCATGACATCAATGCTTTCTTCCGTGAGCCGGGACGAATTCCCGTTCAACAGGTTTTACGTTTGCAGGGCGTTCCTGTTCTAGATGACAAAATTGAAATTCCGGTCGTCCGTGCGTCCTTGGCCCACAGAACTACATAAACCAAACACCTACACAAAATTAAAAAAAATAAAAAATAAAAAATAAATATATATATATATCAGGCCCGCATCATTTTTTACCCTTAGCTAAGTTAGAAAAATTCACCTCAACTAGAGTTACCCAGTCATGTCTACCTAATTTTGTCCGTCTTGAGAGCGGTTCAACTGTAGATTATTTGAAGCAGCAATTTCGAACTTCATTCAAATCAAATCATAGAAATGTATGGTGTTTAGTGACTGTTAGTTAATGATTATTTGGAGATCGTGAGACACCAGACCGCATCTCCAAGTAATCAAATCACAGACCGCAATTCTGAACCCTTCAATTTTGCAGCAAATTTACCACCAACCATATGGTCTAATTCACTAGTTTTCGTGGTCCGCTTGACCAAACAATATCNGCTAGATACGCCGCTGCTCTACCACTTGAGCTATCGTGACTTCGATCCACTCTGACACTAACTTCCCATCTCAACCCCAGCTTTTGAATTTTCCCTCCTTTTTGCCATTTCTAGCCGAAGTTCGTGGGTTCGAATCCCGCTCGTGACATTGACTTTTTTTATCTCAACTAAGAACCTTAATTAATTGAAACATAAGGTCTAATGTTAGAATTTTCGTTTTCGACATTTTGAGGAAATTCTTAATTCCCTTCCAGATAGAATTATGGATTTTTTCAAATCTTCAGATGTTGAAATAGTTTATTCTTCAACAAGGATCAATCGTACAATTTTGACTTTTTGAGCTGAATCGTGAATTCTTCATGTCTTTAACTTTTTAATGTATGACATTTAATTACGTACCCTTCTTCAATTCTTCAAGATTGATTCATGTTTTTGTCAACGTTTTCTACTTTTTTGAGCTGTATCATAGCCTTTAACTATTCAATCTTTGACATTCGATGATGATGTTTTGAGTCTTCCTGTTTGACTTTCGAGTGGAATCATGTTTTCTTCGAACCTTTAAATGTTCAACCTTTGACAGTGAATTCTGTGACGTGCAAATCTTCACGATTGATTAATCAATCTTATAGTCTGTGTTTTCGACTTTTTTAGCTGGTTCATGAATTCTTCCATCCTTTAACTCTTCAATATTTATCATTAGATGATGATGTTTTGAATCTCCCTTCGAGTGGAATCATGTTTTCTTCCAGCCTTTAAATTTTCAATCTTCAGCACTGAATGATCGCTTTTAAGCCTGATACATACTTTTTCAACTTTTTTTAACGAGGGTTCGCAGAGGTTATATCAACCCTCGGGGTGCCGGTGTTTTTGAAAAAAAGCCCATTTGTAAATATGTCGGGTTCGAATTGGATTCGAATGCAGCTGGATTCGAACTCGGGACCTTTACCTTACAGTGATGAGCTACGTGTCAATGCAAACCGTTGCGGCCACCGACACCACCCGTTTTTCAACTTTAGCCATGGATTGACTATTCCACCTTTAAACATCGAATGTTTCGAGTCTGTGCTTCGTTTTTTCCAGTTTAATCATGGATTTTTTAAATATTGGATCCTTCCAGTTAGAATTTTTTGATTTTTCGAATCTTAAGAAATTGCAAAATTGAAAAATGTTTGTTTTTTTAATCTTCAAATTTTAATTGCCGATTTTATTTTTCGAGTAGAATCATGTTTTCTTCAAACCTTTAAATCGTCAATCTTCAACACTGAATATTGGCTTTCTCAATCTTATTTTCACGTCTTTTTACTTTAACCTATATATCCGGCTTATTTTATGTATTTTTCTTATTATTTCGTGTTTCATGTTGTTTGCTTATTCATGTTTCAAACCTTCCACAATATTCGCGTTTATGGATACGTGTGTTCATGTGTGTCATCACATGAAAGAAGTTGATCACTTCACGACTGAATTAAGAAAGAATCTGTTACACTGGCTAATCTCATATTTGTAGCCGTGTAATTAAAATTTACGGCCTGTATCATTAAAAACCAATTAACAATAACAGATAATCGGGGCTTTATAAAAAAAAAAATATGATTCCGGCCAGGATCGAACTGGCGGCCTTCTGCGTGTAAAGCAGATGTGATAACCACTACACCACGGAACCGATTTAGTACAATTTATGTATCCGATGTTGGTACGTATTTATGGCGTATAGGTTTTGTATACTTTCAGATAATAAAACATAAAAACGAACATATTAAATTAAATAATTAAATAAATTATGTTAAGTATTTTTTTACTAATTAAAATACCTAATAAAATAAATAGTTACGACGACAATTGAAAAATGGCAAAAGGAGGGAAAACTCATAAGGTGGGGTTGAGATGGGGAGTTGATGTCCGAGTGGATCGAGGTCACGA